CTAAGTAACTGAAAAGCTACTGCAGGTCTGACTCTGGACAAGCAAGCAGATCAGATTGTTGCTTTCCCCAGGAAAAATAAAAATACTATTATGTTGAAAAAAACCCCAATATATTCAGAGCTTTCACTGGCTGTATTGGCTCAAGGCTGAGTATATTATCAACTGCTAGATCTCTCAAGTGTATTCAAGTGAGGTTTGAAGCAAAATTCCTCCCTGGAAAAAGTTACTATCTGAGGATATAATCCAAAGCCATGAAAGACTGGGAGCATTTTTCTACTGATTTCAAAAGGATTTGGATCAGGCCCTGAGGAGCTAGTCCAGCATCTTCGCTTATATCAGCAACCTCTGTGCTTTGAGAACACAACCCTTGTAATAAGAACTGTTTGCAGGGGTATTTGAAGGATCACAGCTTCAGCTGCACAAATGACATGAGACATGAGTGACCACTGTGGGAAAGGAAGCAAATTTGCTTATTTAGATAATTAACAGGCATTTGAGACAAGTGTTGCTGTCTAACACATTACTGACAGACTAATAATTCTGTCTGACGAAGCAGTAATTATAACAATAGTTATGGTCCACTAAACCAACCAACCCTCCCAGCCACTGCTGCCAGGAAAGGAGGGGTAAGGTTGTGTTTCTCCTTTGTCCAAGTGAACAGGCCACATGCCAGAGCAGCATCCCATGGGGCTTGGCTGGGAGAAGAAGGGATCACTAAGCTACTGAGTGTCAGCTTCAGAGGAAAGGAGGAATGTGCTAGACAAAGAGAGAAGTGGGAGAAGAAGAAAAAAAAATGCTTCCCTTGGCAAGAAATAATTTTTTTCAGTATGTTAATGATATTATGGAAGACTTGTTTTGGTCAGAGGGAATGCCATGCACAAGTACTTTCTTACTTAAAAGGGACACAATTTCTACAATTTCTAGAATCTCTTAATTATTTTTAAGAAATAAAATTCATGCACATTTTGAAACAAATTAATTTTTTTTTCCCCTAAGAAACATCTTCCCTGTCCTGAATTTTTCCTTGCTTGCCTACAGCAGTTAAAAAAACAAATCTAGGGGAAACCATCTCACAACAAACACAAGAGCCCCATTTCTCGCTGTTGATCCCGGGTGAAGCTCTGCATGCTCCTGGGCCCCTTCAAGGCCTGTGAGGCACCACAGGTTCTTCCCAAACCCAAACCTTGTCAGAGATCCAAGCAGCCTTTCTGCTTGGCGCTGCCATCTCTGCTCGCAAAAGCTTTGCTGAGGACCATGCAAAGCTCCAGCTTTGCGTGAGGCTCAGCCATGCATATCCCTGCCCGAGGGGCGGCCGTGCCAGTCCTGGGGCCAGAACAGGTTTTCCTGGGCTTGTGAAAGGAAGGACGGAATGAAGAACGGAATGAAAGGAATGAAGAACGAAAGTTTCTCTTGTCACTAGATGGCCCTATCTCCTTTGACTAAACGCACACGTTTTTCTTTTTACAGTCCCAGATCTGCAGCCCTACAGCAGTGTGCTTGCAGGGTCATCAGCCATATCTGGGAAGGGAAAACCCTGGGAGGTGGAAAAATTCACCTGGGCTTTGATGATGGTTTTTATTATGTCCTTGGTAACTTCCCTGAGTAAAACTAATGCTGTTGCAAGAAAACTCCTGCTTTGAGATTTGTATGAAATGGTACACTTGTGGAGAAGTTCTGTGATTTCCTCATCTTAGACTCCTCCAGCAGCTATGCTGTGCAGATTTAAACCAAAAAGGGAGGAATTTAAGAAGCGTCTGGGCATTTAACTCAGGTGCAGGCTGGTAGAGGGACAGGAACTTCTTCAATCCTTTATTAGGTGGGAGACAAAGTGGAGCTGTCTCCCAGACACTCCTGAGATCAGGCAAACTGGTGGGATGAGGCTTTCCAAGTTCCTTGTGCACCACCAGCCACCCCTGGGGTCACCTGGCCCCTGCCCAAGGGTTGCTGTCCCCATGTCAGCAACTGCCATCCTGTCCCACACTCAGCCTCTGGGACCTGCTTCTGGGCTCTATCTTCCTGGGGCCTACAGCTTCAAGGCACAAATTTACCTTCTGAAGATGCTCTTGTTCAGGGACAGGGAGCTCACTGTCCCAGCCCATGCACAGCAGCCTAGAGGAAGGTCTGGGATGATGGAGGCAGGGGGGGACAGAGTGCTGCAGGGAAGCCACCCCATTTTTTTGACCCGTGATGCTGGTATGACACTCTTCTGGGAATTTTGGATTCTCTAAGGTAGAGCAGGCAGGCAGCTCTGCCTGTTGGAGCAGAGTGCTGGCATTCAAATGAGGGGACACTGAACTCTGTGCAGTAGGCAGAGGACATGCACTAAAGCCCTGTGGATATCTGCTGCCCCAAACCCTTACACTGACAGCCACATTTTCGTGTTTTGGATGTCTCTAAGTAACTGAAAAGCTACTGCAGGTCTGACTCTGGACAAGCAAGCAGATCAGATTGTTGCTTTCCCCAGGAAAAATAAAAATACTATTATGTTGAAAAAAACCCCAATATATTCAGAGCTTTCACTGGCTGTATTGGCTCAAGGCTGAGTATATTATCAACTGCTAGATCTCTCAAGTGTATTCAAGTGAGGTTTGAAGCAAAATTCCTCCCTGGAAAAAGTTACTATCTGAGGATATAATCCAAAGCCATGAAAGACTGGGAGCATTTTTCTACTGATTTCAAAAGGATTTGGATCAGGCCCTGAGGAGCTAGTCCAGCATCTTCGCTTATATCAGCAACCTCTGTGCTTTGAGAACACAACCCTTGTAATAAGAACTGTTTGCAGGGGTATTTGAAGGATCACAGCTTCAGCTGCACAAATGACATGAGACATGAGTGACCACTGTGGGAAAGGAAGCAAATTTGCTTATTTAGATAATTAACAGGCATTTGAGACAAGTGTTGCTGTCTAACACATTACTGACAGACTAATAATTCTGTCTGACGAAGCAGTAATTATAACAATAGTTATGGTCCACTAAACCAACCAACCCTCCCAGCCACTGCTGCCAGGAAAGGAGGGGTAAGGTTGTGTTTCTCCTTTGTCCAAGTGAACAGGCCACATGCCAGAGCAGCATCCCATGGGGCTTGGCTGGGAGAAGAAGGGATCACTAAGCTACTGAGTGTCAGCTTCAGAGGATGCCTTGCTTTTATGGCCTCAGATAGCTGCAGACATAATTTTGCACCTGCAGTTTTGGTCAGAAGGATAACTGCGGCCCTTATTGACCCACGTTATGTGATGCCTTGAGAGGCCAGTGCTGCGAGCACAAATAGTTGTGGCTTATTAGGAAAGGCACCGTTTGCAGAAAACAGACATAATGCTGGGTGTTATGTCCCTTCTGAAAATTGCCTGTGCTTGAGTCAGTATAACCCCTTCAATCACAGATTCATAGAATGGGTCAGGCTGGAAGTGACCACAGGGGGTGCTCTGGACCAAAATCCCTGCTCAAGCAGGGCCATCCCAGAGCACACGGCACAGGATTGCAACCAGACCTTTGTTGAGTATCTTCAGTGAAAGAGACTCCACAACCTCTCTGGGCAATCTGTTCCAGTGTGCAATCACTGTGCAGCAAAGAAGTTCTTCCTTATGTTCATCTGAACTTCCTGTGCATCCTGACCTTTGGCACAATGTCTTTCCAGCAGGCAGCTCCTTCCCAGAGTTGCACTGGGGAGCTGAGGAGTATCTCTACTCACTTCAGGGGACTACCACAGTGAAAAGGGGAGCTGGGGCCATTTTGTTTTAACCTGGTCTTCTCTGATCCTGTCCAATGGCTGGGTGAGCTGAATGTATGGGTAAGCAAATCCTCCAGGATGAATGCAGGAATGGGGTGAAAAGAGGTGTTTCCCAGAGGAGGGACCCTCTGTTATCTCACAGCCCATGGAGGGGTTGTGCCCAAGTCCTCCTTTCCCCCATCCCACACAGAAAGAGCTCCTGGGGAACCAGATCACGGAGTCAGGTTTTTCCCTTCTTTTCATGCAAGTCATGAGAGACTGATAGAGATCCAGGACCCAGGTAGCAATATGAACTGACTGGCCTCAGACTGTGTAAGGAACACCTGGGACTTGGCTCTAATTTTCTTTGCATGGCATACAGAAAATTTTAATTTCAACATGTATTTTAACAGGATAGTCGATGGGAGGGCTGATGGGCAGCAGAGGGCTCTGTCTGCTGCTCCCCACAGCTCTACCGTGCATCTTCACCTCCCATGCTTCCCACAGACAGGAGGAAAAATCAACTAATGCAGATTCTTCTGTTTCTTCTCTTCAGGGAATCAGTCTATTGAGAAATTCATTAAAATCCACTGTGCCCGAGATAGAAAAACATCACCTGACAAGAAAATGCTCTTATGGAAAACAAGTCTTTGATAGCTTTACATGCTTCTTGAACACAGGGAAAGCCAGTCAATAACATCCCTTGCGGCCTAAAAGCAGAAACATCTGTCAGAGGCGGCTTGCTGGGCTGAATATAGCAGCAGGAAAGCCCAACTGATTAACTCCATCCTCTTCCTAACATGTTTTTGTGGTTCCCAGAAATCCCTAGAAAGGGCTCCTGAGGACACTGGCACCATTACAAGCCAGCTATAATTCAGTAAACAGAGAGATGAAGAAAACATTATCCTGACTGCAGTTCACCTCTGGCATCCAGGTTGCATAATTCACATGTACTCCATCCTACTCTTCCTTAGCTGTACAGCAGGCTTGTGATTTAGGAAAAAAGGAAGAGTGAGCCCACACTTGATGAAGGAAAGAATAAAGTGATTGTTGTGAGAAGGAAAACACAGTTGAGGTACATACAACCTTGCAAGTAGACTGGAGCAGGGGAAACTGGCAGAAAATATTAGAGCACAGAAGACACAGGCAGTGTGCCTGTGCTGATCCTTTTTAGTGCAACCACTCACCAGAATGCTTCTCCCAACCCCTGCTCTTTCCATCCACATTTGTAGATTCACCTCTATAGAAAAAAGCTAAAATTACTTCTTTGCTGCGTTTTACTTCTGTCCTACCTTACATGTGACAGTTCACCATGCATAACTGAGGGACTTCTCCAAAAACTGCAGGAAGTTTCCTGACAACTCTTGTCAACTTCATCACAATTTCTCCCCTTACTCTGGAAAATAGAAAGTCCTTTCATTTTTTAGACATTTGTCTGGTCTTGTTGCAGGATTGTTGAACCACCAATGCAGCCAGGGTCACAAAACTTGTTGGGACCAGCTCACAACACATAAATAGTAGTTAGTGTCATGCTTAAGTCACAGTCTCTCTGCATCCCACTGCTACTGGACCATGCCAAGAGACATCTAGATATAGTGCCTCTAGCAAACAATATTCAGCTTGTAATAAGTCTAGAGAAAAAAGTAATCTTTCAGTTTCCAAAGCTTCTCATGCAGGAGAATAATTTCTGCAATCACAGAGCTACTCTGGAAGCACATTTAAACATATTTATCTTCATTTTAATAGACATTCAAATAACTTCTGTGTAATATTCATAAACATAAGATCTTTTGACTTAACTGTGATGCACAAAGAGAAGCAACTTACCCTGGAGATAAGGTAAATACCTCTACTTATAGCAGAATGCTGGGATGGGAAAATGAAACAGTCTTTGGTAGAAAATTTTATGTGGCCCATTCACTCCGCAGTTCTTCAGAAGGATATGAGTATTCACAGCAGTATGTGAAGTCTTTCCCTGATTGATACTTAATTCTGAGTAGATCCTGGTAGATTAAAGACATAGTTTCAATCAGAATCTGAGGGATTTACTACTCTGTGGGGGTTTTACGTGTGTGTGAAGTTGTTCTGTGTTTTTTTTTATCTTGAGGGAATGAACTGCCTCATTTTTCTGAGTTTGTGCTCCCTTTCAGCTTACAGGTTATTAAAATTTATCAGCTGTAGTGTGGACCTCGCTCTGGAAATGTTGATCTTCAGATTTAATTTTCCTCCATTGCATATGTCTACCTCTGAGCAGGTTTACCTTTCACCTCCTACAGTGGAAAATTATAACATCAAATCTGAAAGACAACCCACTCTCTTTCTAGCTCTCCTAGAGGACTCTACAAAATCCTTCCTCTCACAGTCAAGTCAGAAGACATCAAAAATGCAGCGCAACGAGGATCCCTCTGGCCTTGATTCACCCATTATTTATATATTTCCAAAACTGGATTAAAATTCCCAGAGGACTCTGCTGAAATCTCAAACTGGCATTGCATAGTGCAAAACCCGATGTGAAGAATACTTGTTCTCTGTATAACCAGTTGCAACATTTCCCAAGTTTTCTGCCTTGCATGCTATTTCCTCACCTGTTTTAGAGGGGCCTGAGGCAATATCATGTTTTCATAAGAAAGGGGAAAAATGTGCTCAAAAAAATAACATTTATAACCTCTTTTTTAATTTTCTGGTTTGTTTTTTATTGCAATACCAAAATACCCCCTAACTACCAAAACCACAGCAACATTTTCTTTTACGTATTTTGGTTAGTATTTGTTAGAAGCTGAGATTTTTTCAGACTGACTACCCTGCTGAAAAAAAGTTGATTTCTTGCCATTGCTTTGTGATGGTTTGACTGACTCAGCCCTCCCCTTAATCCTGCTACAGATGAGTGAGATATGGGACATCCCCCAGGGCCATGGGAGTCTGCTTCTGGCTGGCATGAACTCCTCTTACTCTGCCCAGCATCTTCCCTCCCTGCAACGTGCTGTGCACAGCCATTAGGTTCCCCATCCTTTGGCACTTGATGTGTCCCTTCCCTCCTCCAGTTCCCATACACTGGATTCCTGACCCTCATTCCTGTCTTTCTTCCCCCAGTTCCCCAGCCTGCTCCAAGCACTGCCATCTGCTCAGGCTTTACAGTTCTGAGGACACAAGCAAGGAAGAAGGATTGGGAATTTTTTCTCCACAGGATGGTTCCCTTGTCACAATCATATTCCAGCTTTCTTACCCTGTTCCTCATGCTCACTCTGTGGGGAGGATTGCAGCAGATGGAGGATGTCACCTAAAATAAAGTTTGTGTGACAACTCAAATAGAGCAAAACAGAGCAATGATGTGCTCATAGAATCACTTAGGTTGGTAAAGACCTTTAAGATCATCAAGTCCAACCAGTAATCCAGCACTGCCAAGTCCATCTCTAAACCATGTCCCCAAGTGCTACATCTGCACATCCTTTAAATACTTTGAGTAATGGTGACTCAACCACTTCCCTGGACAACCTGTTCCAATGCCTTACAACCCTTTCCTGAAGACTTTTTTCCTAATACACAATCTAACCTCCCATGGCGTAACTTGAGGCCATTTCTTCTGGTCTGTTCACTTGATACCTGGGAGAAGAGAGAGACCTATCCCTACCTGGCTACAACCCTCTTTCAAGCAGTTGTAGGGAGATATAAGGTCCTCCCTTAGCCTCCTTTCCCCCAGACTAAACACCCCCAGCTCCCTCAGCTCCAAGTCAGTATGAGGAAGGTGCTGGGCAAGGTATCACAGACCCTCAGCTCGGCTTAGCCTCATGTCCTCTTCCTCTCGCTGTGACCTCAGGTGGCCTGGGGATACAGTAGGACCACAGGCTGGGGTGACAGGCCATCTGCCATAGAATCCCCAAACAACCTCAGCTGAAAGCACCCAAATTTTGGGGCAGTTGCTAAGCAGCATCCAGCAGAGGCTGATGTCAGAGTCCATGAAATTGCTCTGGTCTGGATCAGAGGCTGATCAGCATTATGCAGACTCATCCTCGGGAAAGGAAGGGAGCCAAACCAAACCTGCTTGGAGAGCCTTTGCCCAGGACATGACCTGGCACCTGCAAAAGCCATGAAACCCTTCTCAGGGAGACAGCAGAGCCCCTACCTAGGTCCTTATAACCTCAGGAGGGTTATTATGTGTGGCAAGGGACACAGAATTAGATATGTGGATCTCTGCATGACTGAATCTCCTCTGCCATGTGCTGGATTCTGCATCTGGGACAGGGTGACCCCGGGTGTTCATACTGTCTGGGGAATGAGATGCTGGAAAGCAGTGCCATGGAACAGGACCAGGGGCTCCCGGTGGATGGCAATTTGAACATGAGGCAGCAGTGCCCTGGCAGCCTGGAGGGCAAAGCATGTCCTGGGGGGCATCAGGCACAACATCACAGCCGGGCAAGGGAGGGGATTGTCCTGCTCTGCTCTGGGCTGGAGCGGCCTCACCTCGAGTGCTGGGGGCAGTTCTGGGTGCCACAGTATAATTTTGGGTGCCATATATTAAGTTGTTAAAGAGCATCCGAAGAAGGGCAATGAAGACGGTGAAGGGTCTGGAGAAGAAGCCATATGAGGAGCTGCTGTTCAGCCATTGGTCTGTTCAGGCTGGAGGAGACCGCAGAGAGAGCTCATTGCGGCTGCAGCTTCCTCATGAGGGGAAGGGGCAGACTCTGATCTCCTCTCTGTGAGCACTGGACCAGGCTCCCCAGGGCACTGGTCACAGCACCAGCCTGAAAGAAGTGTTTGGACAACACTCTCAGGCCCATGGTGCGACTCTTGCAGATGGTGCTCTTTAGGGCCGGGAGCTGGACTCGATGATGCTTGTGGGTTCTCCCAACTCGGGATATCCGGTG